ACCCCATATAAATGAATAGATAAATATTGCCAAGAGGATATTATGTTTCTACTGATTTCTATTGTGTAACATGTTGAACTTCTTTCACTACCCTATGAATGCTTCTTAAAGAATCCCATATTGTTGTAATTCCCATACTGGATAATTCTAGTACTTGAGAGGTAAAAACAAAAACTTTCTCTAAAAACAAACAAGTAACAACAAAATACATGATAGGAAATCATTGGGAGAATGAATTAACAAGAAGCTGGAATAAGAACTTCTAGTCAGGACTTTTGACATGTTTTAACGTCATTATTTTCATAATGATGATATTCACAGTCTTTAGGTATGGTCCAGATCAATAAAAATTAAATAAAAATTCAAAACAAAAAAAGAATTCAATAGTTTTTTTAGGTTTTTTTTCTTTTCTTTTTTTAAAGACATGAGTTTCTCTGTATATCCTTGGCTGTCCTGGAACTTGCTCTCTAAACCAGGCTGGCCTCAAATTTAGAGATCTGCCTGCCTCTGCCTGAGTGCTGGGATTAAAGGCATGGGTAACCACTGCCCATCTTTGACCTTTTCCCTTAATGTCTACTTTCATTTCTTAGGTGTACATTTGTACTGAGCATTGGACCTAGAACACTGAAAACACTGTACTAAAAGCTGCAATTTCCAGATCATCTGTCAGACTTATTTTGAGACAATGTGTCACGAAGTTGATCAGACTGGCCCTGTCATGTTCTGGCCTCAGCCTTATAAGTCTACGTTATCAGGCCTGGCGATTATTTCTGTTTGGCAAACAAAATAAACCAAAACAAGTGTCTTTCAGTAGACAATTTCTAAAATATGGTGACTTTTCCCCCAGATAATTCTTAGCTTTAGTAATCAAGTTTGGTTTGGGGAGGGAGGGGTTGTTTGTTTGTTTGCTTTGTTTTGTTTTTTCAAGACAGGGTTTCTCTGTAGTTTTGGAGCCTGTCCTGGAACTAGCTCTTGTAGTCCAGGCTGGCCTCGAACTCACAGAGATCTGCCTGCCTCTGCCTCCTGAGTGTTGGGGAAAAGGCGTGTATCACTAATGCCCAGCTAGTCATCAAATCTGTACCTAACTAGAAATCTATTTTAAAATACATATATATGCCGGGCGGTGGTGGCGCACGCCTTTAATCCCAGCACTCGGGAGGCAGAGGCAGGCGAATCCTTGTGAGTTCGAGGCCAGCCTGGTCTACAAGAGCTAGTTCCAGGACAGGAATCAAAAACAACAGAGACACCCTGTCTCGAAAAAATAAAAAATAAAATAAAATAAAATAAAATACATATATATTATATACATTTCTTCTCTCCCTCCCTCTCCCCCCCCGCCGCAACAAACACACACACACACACTCTCTCTCTCTCTCTCTCTCTCTCTCTCTCCCTCCCTCCCTCCATCTCTCTCTCTCTCTCTCTCTCTCTCTCTCTCTCTCTCCAATTAAAAGCACTTCTGGCTCTTGCAGAGGACAGGGGTTCAATTTCCAGCACCCATATGGTGGCTCAAAACCACCTTTAGAACTACAGTTCCAGGAAATCTCACACCCACTATGGTCTCAAAGGCACTGCATGTACATGGTACACATGCATGCAAGCGAAATATTCACACTCATAAAATAAAACCTTTAATAACAAAAATAGTGTTTTTTAAAGATTTATATATATTTTAAATTTATGTGTGCATATGCCAGGCATGTGAGGGAGCCCTTTGAAGTCAGAAGAGAGCAATGGATCTCCTACAGTTGAAGTCATTTTAATACTTAAGCATTATTGTACTAATTAGTTAAGACCCTGTACCTATTGTCAGGCAATCATCACATTAACTAAAATCACAGTAGCAAGAAATCTCAGCACTATTTTAATAGGCAGGCTAAAAGCAAACACTGCTGAATGGCAAGGATAATTTTTAACCCATTTATCAAGTTTAATAATTTCCAATTGCAGGTTTTATAACTTGTTTTCTTAAAAACTTAAGTTGGCTGGGCATGAAATCCAAGCACTGAGAGGCTGAAGCAGAAGACTGAAAGTTTGAAAGAGGGAGAAGGAAGAAAAGAAATAGCAGCTGCAACAGCAGGACGCTATAACTTATTATGTGCTTCTAGGCAAGTCACTAAATGTTCATATGCCTCCATTTTATCTCTAAAGTGGGATAATTGCTATTTAAAAAAAAAAAGAAGAAGAAGGCTGGAGAAGATGGTCCAGTGATTAATTTAAAGTACTGGCTGTCAAGCGGTAGTAGTGCACATCTTTAATCCCAGCACTTGGGAGGCAGAGGCAGGCGGATCTCTGTGATCTGTGAGTTTGGAGCCAGCCTGGTCTACAGAGTAAGTTCTAGGATAAACTCCAAAGCTACAGAGAAACCCTGTTTCAAAAAGAAAAAAGAAAAAACCAAAACCAAACAAACAAAAAGTAGAAGAAACTATAAAAATGCAGCCAGGGCTAGGCAGAGAAACCCTGTCTCCAAAACACAAAAAAAAAAAAAAAAAAAAAATTAACATATAGGCACAAACATGTAGTATGCACATTAGTATTTTCATAAACTCTTTAAAATAGCTCATAAATAATTAACACATTTCTTCTGCCTTATAATCTCTCTGATTATAATACTCCCTGGGTTTGTAGTCCAGGAAAGAGAAAGGACAGTGTAAACAAATATGGTCTGGCATTATCATCATGAGAACAAAACCTAAAAATCTCCTTCATTAAGAAACACTTCACACCGGGCAGTAGTGACACACACCTTGTAGGTAGATCTCTATGAGTTCGAGGCCAGCCTGGTCTACAGGGCGAGTTTCAGGACAGGCTCTAAAGTTACACAGAGAAACCCTGTCTCGAGGGGGGGGAGGGGAATTTCACCAGGCAGTGGTGGCACATGCCTTTAATCCCAGCACCCAGGAGACAGAGGCAGGAGGATCTATGTAGTTCAAGGCCAGCCTGGTCTACAGAACAAATACTAGGACAGCTAAGGCTGTTAACACTGAAAAACCCTGTCTTGGGGAAAAAAAATACTTCTACACAACGTTAATCACAACGTTAATCCAGCACTTGGGCAACCAACAGAGGATCAGAGGATGTGAGTTTGAGGCCAGCTTGTTCTACATAGTGAGTCTAAGACAGCAGGGCTACATAATGAGATTCTGTCTCCAAAAGAACAAAAAGCACAACAAAACAGAACACCCTTCTAAAAATGTTTCTCTTCTTCTGATTGTAGTTTTAAAAACATCTTCACATTAATACACACATGCACAAGCTTATATGTACAAATATAATCAAATATTTGAGAACCTTTTATATGCTCTAAATTATATTGCTAAAACAATATAGCTGATGCTAAAGTTAAAAAACTAACTTTTAGGAAACTGAAGAGGTAGCTCAGAAGAACACTGGCTGCTCTTTCAGAGGACTCAAGTTTGATTCCCAGCACATACATGACAGCTCACAACCATCTGTAACTCCAGTCTCTGGGGATCCAAAACTCTTTTCTGGTCTTTTAGCACAAGGCACACACGTGCTACACAGACATGTATAGGCAGGCAAAACACCCATACACATAAAAATAATCTTAAAAACAAACAAAAAAAGAAAACCCTTAACATTTATAAAATACATCCTTAATAATGAACACATTTTCCCTGTCTTTCTACTGCCTGCTAATCTCTCCAACTATGATTCTCCCTGCGAGAGCTATATGGCACAGTGAGAATATTTGTTTCCCATTCTTGAAGTTCCAGGTTAAATCCCCAGTACTGCTGGGCACTGTGGCACACTCTTTAATTTCAGCACTCAAAGCAGAGGCAGATAACTCTAAGTTTCAGGACAGTCTGACCTATAAGGAGTTGTATCAGAACAACAAAAGAGCTACACAGTGAGACTTGTCTCAAAAATCAAAAGAAAATAAATCCCCAGTACTGTCCAATAATAAAATAATAATTATAAAGCCAAACACTATAACTAGGCACTTTAATACACATTAGCTAACTAAGGAGAGAGCTACTTTTGTAGAAGAAATAATAAAGTTTAGAATAGTAAAATCTCTTGCCTCAGGTCACAGAGCTGAAGAAGTTGCTAAACTGGTATTTATACCTAAGGTGAATTACAACACCCACTTCCCCCACTGTATCTACAGGACTAACCTACCTCTAAGGGAGGAAAAAGCCATGAATTGAAGTTATAGAAAAATATCCAAGGCCCTTTTCAAAGAGATCATAAAGTACTTGTTAGTGGATACGTAGATTTCATTGTGGCACTTGGCTTTAGATAGGAAGTATGGACTAACACAGAAAGGAATGTTTCTCCTGCTGCTGAACTTTTTCTCCAAGTCTCTTACTTTCAGCTTGTTTCTCATCTCTAAATAATGGAGAAATAATATCCTTACTATCTAATACCAAACTCTGATGATTAAGCATAAAGTATAAAAAAATAAATAAAAAGATTTTAAAGCAATTGTCATCTGTTTAAGGTACATATCCTATTAACTTTTCCAGAACATTCTACGGGCCTTTTTTTCTAAGCATAGTTTAATCATTGATTACTTAGCTTTTTATCCTTAGATATAATGATATAGAAATAAGATCAATAATTGGTAAATAAATTATGTATCATTTTGAAATGCACAACATCCAAAAAAGTATGTGTTTGGTGTCACTGCTATATTTATTAATTTATCATCTTTATGTTTGAACTTTTCAAATTCAGTTTGTGTTTAAAAAAAATTAATTGAATTTCTAAAGTAGAACATCCAACATATAATTTTAAATGATTATAAGGGATTTCCCCCGAGGGCTCTCAAAGCAGATACAATGGCCTACAAGCACTTCAAGCACAACAACGAAACCCACTGAAACATTAAGCTGCTCTAAAAGAAGGATCAGGCTCCTTAGCAAAAAACTACATTGTGTGAGTCTGCAAAGTTTCCCTCTTTTCCATTTCAACTCCATCTCAGAGAAAGCCTTTGCATACTAACACAATATGCTGTAAAACGGCACTTTGCTGACCTTCCAATAGTCCAGCTCTATGAAAATTCTGGGATGGGTGTAACTTCAGAGAATCTGAAAAACACAAAAAGCATTAAGTACTTTTTATGCTGAATGAGAAAAATGCCAAGGATAGCATACATCTCTTATATAACTATTATGTATTTTTAAGAGCTTAAAGCCCATATTAGTTTAGTCTATTCCCTGCAAAAGGAAGGTTAGGTTGCTTCTACTCTGGTCTCAAAGCTAAACTTAGATTTTGATAAAGCATTTGTTTCATGGAAAATTATCTAATGACTACTGCACAAATGGTGTTACTGTCTTGATTATTTTTAGCATTCAATTGTACATTAGCCCTATTCTAAGGATCACCTCTTGATATTTTCTTTTCCTTCTGACACTTCAGACTACAATATTTCTAAGCTATGTAGGTAATATCTGAGAAACATCCTATAGGATAGTGACTGCCAACTAAAGTCATCAGCGCAACAGACAATGGCCTAACAGTTACTAAGCAGGGCTCCGTGTATAAACTCAATAGTCTATAAAGTCAGCACCTTTCAGGGTAAACCATATCCCTTTGATTCACTGAAACAATATGACCACACACTAATGCCAGGCTTAAGTCCCCTCTGGTTTCCCAACCTCAAGAGGTAAAAATTATCCGGTAGGTTTGTAAAACTAAAAACAGGAGAAATGCTGAATTTCTCGGGAAAAGGGTTCACCGTGGTATGTTTTAAAACATAAATGAATCTTTAAGAACCGTATTTTGCCCCCTCCCACTGGTCTAAGTGGTGGAGTACAAACGCGGGTGTTTTGGGTTTGATACCCCTTGCAAAGGAAACCTGTTCTGACACATTCTTATGGTGTCCAGTGTAGGAATTTAACCTCAGCAGAGATCACCTCAAGTGTTAATGTTTTAGATGCTGGGAATCCCCTGAAGGCTTTAGCCAAAATAATTTTAAATGGGAAGCTCTGTTCATTGCCTCCTCTCTGCAAGGAGCCCTTGAAGAGCAAAGAGAAATTTCTCTAAGGGCAGGACTGTGCCCGAGCCTGGTACTCCAGGGAGAGAAATACAAGTAATCCAGGGAGGGCATCCTTATCTTTGCCAAAGAAGAGAAGTAATTAGAATGCCACGGAGGTGAAAGAGAGAAAAGAAGAAAATTCGAGCCTTTTCCAGGCAAGAGGATGACGAGGAAAGGAAGAACGCCTGTTTGAGGGGGGCCGTCCCGACATGGGGAGGGAGTGGACT